TTTTACTTAAATATTTTAAAAGTGTTTCTAGAAATTTGTTGTAGGTGCCTTCAAGTCAACTACAACTGTTACTAACTCATGAACAGATTGGAACTTTGCCTATGTGATACCAGCCTAACAAATCTCTCACTTGCTCCAGTGTATTGTTACAGTCGCTCTGTCAATCCATCCTTGTAAGAATAAAATATCAAAAACTCAGTTTCTGACAAGTGCAGCTACCTCCATCCCACTTGCTTGCCTAGTTTGCAGCAAACAACCTCCCCTACTTGTGATAAACCACACTCTGTTGGCTGACTGCCTCCCTGAGCTATGGCTAACGAATAGAGAGCAAACTAGTACTAGAACTACTATGAGTAGCCAATCAAGCTGTGTAGCTAGACAAAGATGCAAGAAAGTATAAAAGGGAGGGCTCTCTTGGTCTCGGGGCTCTAGGGTGAATGCAGCTGTGTCAGCACGTAGGAAACCAGGTTCGAATTCGAAATAAACTTTATTAATTTGGCTAATTGGCTGGGTGATCTTTTCTGGGGACTCGCTCAGTTACAATCCTGTGGAGGGTTTTCCTATCTTTCTCTGACCCTCCACCTTTCCATTTGGAAAATGTCTATCTTTGTCCAAGGACTGGCCCCTCCCAAAATACGCCCACCCAAAGTACTTGAAATGTGGTTTCATTATCCTTGCCTCCAAGGAGGACTCTGGTTTCACAGACTTGTTTGTGGATTTTTTTTTATGGTTTCAGTGGAGCTTCCAGACTAATAAAACTAGGAAGAAGAATGTGTTTATCAACTTCTGAAAAAGGGGGGGGGGGCAAATGAAAATCTTATGAAGAACAGCAGTTTAGCATGGTCTGATAAAGTGCCAGAAGATAAGCTAGTCATGTTGGAAGACTCTAAAAATAAAAGTGGATTCTCTTTGTGTTTAGAGCTGCCTCCTCAAAGTAAAGGATGACATGGATGAAGTGGAGCTTTTAGGAAGTTCATTAATTGATGTGGAAAGACTCAAACTGAGAAGAAACAACAGCATATGTCCATTACTGAGTGGACTATGAAATCTTTAATGTATAAATCATGAAAAATTGAAAATCTTAAGAAATGAAATGGAACACTTAAAAACTGATAACCTAAAACACCAAAAGAAACCCCAGAAGAGCAAACTGCTATCTTAGGCAAATGGACTACGGCTAGTTTGAAATGAACAATCATCTCTTGCTCTTGCTTTCTCTTGCTCTCTTCTTGCTCTCTTGCTTTCTCTTGCGCTTGCTTTCTCTTCTCTTGCTTGCTCTTGCTCTTGCTTCTTGCTCTTGCTTTCGCCACCACCCTCTGTAACAGAACTCCTGAGTAAACCACTGTGAGAAGGAACCGCTGGTGTGCTGTGTCCTTATTCCGGCGAGACTGGTGAGGCGCGCAACAAGTGGTGGCCCATACGGGGAATCGAACTTCGAAACTGAAGAGGTGCCGCGGTTTCAGAACTCACAGCGGACAGGGCAGCTAGCTGGTTGCAACACCCCCATGATACATCTTCAAGGATATGAACATGTACGGCCAAGCACAATCAATAAGAGTGCATCTAAATTCCAAAATCAATCTCCATAATAGTCTATGTGTTTCCTACTGCCAAAGGGGCCCTTTAGAGTAGTGACAGAAGATCTTCACCCTGAAACCCACAGCGTCCCTTTTCAGCAGGAAGTAGCTAAGAGAATACGCCATCCCCTTTTCCTTATGACTCAGGGTGAAGTCTCTCTCAGGGAGGAGTGATAGGGAATGGCAAAGGACACACTGACAAAGAAGATTAATCAGAACTGGCTTTGACAAGCACTGTGGCATTTGGACAAGAACAAACTGGGGAGGAGGGTAGAGAGAATAGTGCAACAATGAATGGATGGAAACCCAAAATCTCTGTAAATGTTTATGGAAAATTAATAAAATATAGAAAAAAAAAGAAATGAACAATCATATGGGCTACTGTACTAAGAATGACACATTGAAGAGGAATAATATCACTTTATTTGATAAAAACAACTTTTACAAGTACAGCTGCCATTGATAGTATTACATCCATATATCTATAGGTAAAATCAGTTAATAAAACTCTTACTAAATGTGTGCAGCAACCATTATTGCCAAAGATGAAGAATTTAAAGATTTTCTACAACTATAAAATAAATTAATAAAATAGATGAATGGGACCTACTAGAATCAAATCCCTATGCACATCAAAACACTTCTCCAAAAGGGTAAAAAGGAAACTCACAGACTAGAAAAAAAAATACTTTGTAATGACATCTCTGTTAAGGGACTCATATCTAAAATTTAGAGACTACTCTAGCACCTCAACAAGAAAAGGTAAGCAAGCCAATCACAAAATGGGCACAGGGTATGAATAGACACTTTACCAAAGATATTCAGATGGCGAACACATACATGAAGAAATGTTCAAAATCCCTAGCTCCCAGAGAGATACAAATAAAAACAACTATGAGATATCATCACATCCCAGTAAGAATAGCAAAGCTCAACAGAACAGCAAACAACAAATGGTGGTGAGATTGCAACCCTTATTCACTGCTGGTGGGAGTATAAAATGGGTCAACCACTAAGGAAGGCAGTATGGTGCTTCCTCAAAAAGTTTGGAAAAAAAGTTTGACACGCCAATTCCACTACTAGGAATAGACCCTGAAGAAACCAGAGCTACCACCCAGACAGATATATATACACCTACGTTTAGTGCTGCATTATTCACAACAGCAAAGAGACAGAAGCAACTCAAGTGCTCATCAACAAATGAATGAATAAAAAAACCTACGATATCTTCACACAATAGAATGCTACCTAACACTGAAAAACAATGAACTCATAAAATATTACACAACATTGGTGGCCCTGGAGGACATTATGCTGAGTGAAATATCTCAGCCATGAAAGGACAAATATTGCGTAACACTACTGTTATAAAACAGGACTGCCATGGGAGTTGGGGGAAACTAACAAAAATAATGAACTCTTCATTGGAACAGAGGAAAGAACTGTTTAAAAAGAATATGATTAGGCATGATTTGTATGACAGTAGTCCAGAGTAAAAGGTGCATAGCATAGCAGAGTGGAAGGGCAGGGGAAAGGAAGAAATTATGCCACAATGAATGAATTATTTTTAAAGAAAGTGAAGGTGGTAGGGAGGATAATGTGCAATAATGAATGAATAAAAATCCACCTTTTCTGTTAACTTTAGTTAAAAATCACAATTAAAAAATTTGAAGATTTCTACAAGTTTTTGTAGTTTGAAATTGATCAAACATGAAATCAAGAGCAATTGATAATTCCTGGCTATTAGAATGTGAAAGGTGGAAATTTAAAAGTGACTGGCAGATGGAAAATATGTCTTTCGTGGTAGTAACTACACTGGAGGTAACACGATGGAATTTTGCAAGCTCAACAAGTTACTCATTGTATGTATGTAAACCCTCCACCAAGTTATTAATTGTAAATACTATTTTTCAATAAAATAAATGGTATAAATGGTGACTGTACACATGGACCTAATTGGATGGTTTACACAGACATCAAACTTTATCAGTGAAAAGAGAGAGTGGAGAAACTTAATACAGTGTCAGTCACAACAAGCCAGGGTCCAAGTGACTGTCTAATAGACCACCAATTCATATGGAAATTCAAGTTGATGCTGAATTGCAAAAGAAAATTAAGTCCATAAGATATTAAAAATACAATCGAGTTGTATACTAATGAAGGAATATTTTTATATATTTTTTCTTTTCTTTTTCTCTTCAGAGGGAGGAGCGAGCTGGTGGGGAGGGGTAGGCAGGGAGAAAAGTGCGGCAATGAATGAATGGAAATCCAAAACCTCTAAATGTCTATTAAAATTAATAATAAAAAAGATATTAAAAATACAATCATGATAAAGCCTGCTGAATTTAAGACCATCTCAGGAACAGGTTTGATACATTGAATATTAATGACTGGAGACCACACAAGTTGTGGGAGGACATCATTCGTGAAGGAGGAAAAATAATTAAAAAAACAGGAAAGGAAAAAAGGAATGTTGAAAAAAAGGATGACTCGAATGTAATTGTTGTTGTTTGCTGTCGAGTTGAGCAAGACTCATAGCGACCTGAAAAGCCTGAAGCCTTTCTGTAACTATCGTCGTTTATCAAAGTTCAGTTTCCAGAGACTTTCGTTTAGCAAGTGGATGCCATACCTGCTTCCAAATGTAGAGTAGCTAAAGAAAATGGGAAGCAAAAAAAGAGGCTACTCAAGAAGACAAAATATTACAATGAAAAGTGCAAACGATCCGCAGAAAAGGTTCCATGATTGGCAGAGTAACAATGGAGTTGTTTTAAACGACGATATAATGGATATGCTGGAAGGATCACTCCAGACTTGTTTTAAATATTCCTCGATTGATAAAGTGTTTGTATTAGAACTCTATTGGATAGCGTTCTAGAAGTGGAACTTGGTCAAGGGAGGAAGAATCTGCTTTTCTCCCACAACCAATCATTTTTGCGTGTGGCCAGATCCAAGGCGAGAGATGGGAAAGTCTGATGGTAGTAGGGCGCCTCCGAGGAGGCAGAGGAACTCGTAGTCGCTCTCCCCAAGAGCGGTTCGTTTCTCTAGCCTAGGCGAACTTCTGTATCACTGTTCTGCCACAGCTAGCCATACTTCGAGAACCGCATTGTCCGTGTATTCAATCCACAAAGCGACTACCATTTCGATTTCGATTTCTCGTACCGGAACAGGTGTGATGTGACACAGCATTTCCGCCGCTTCTTGGGCGGGGCCACGCCACCGTCGCCGTCGCGGTTTGGTGACGCAGAGCGCCGCGTATTTTCCCCCCACGTGTGTGGAAGCTGTCCGGGTGCTAGTGGATGGAGCTGTCGGTCCTCGGGTTGTAGTTTTCGGCTTTTCGGCTGCTCGGGCCTGTATAGCCCTGAGCCGGGGTCTCTCAGCGCACAGCATCGAGTCCTGGTGACGTCCAGGGAATAGAGACGGGACATGGAGCATTTCTCACTGGAGGTGGTGGCTGCGCTGCGGTTGATATCTGCCAAGAACGAGAAGAGCCGCAGCGAGCTGAGCAGATTCTTGACCAAGCAGGTGAGAGATGGAATTGGAGGGAACGTGCCACCACAGACCCCTTTTGCCTTGTACGCTTTGCGGCCTTTAGCCCTTGGTTTAAGCGGGCACAAAAACCGTAAATCATGTCACGCGGGTCCTGTCTCCCGGGACTAGCCGGTGGCGAAGGATCCCTGGCGTGTTTGAAGAAGGTCGGAAGTAATCTTTTGTTTTTATATAGGACAATTTTCCCTTCCCTTCATACTGAATCCTATATGTCCTGCTTTGGCCGCATATGTGAGAGGCCTACGGCAGGAAATGTGATACACGTATGAAATACAAATTGAGACTGCTCTTTTGACTTGTATAATACCTAAGTGCGTGCCTAGTCAAGCCACCCGTTTGCTTGGGTGAATGTTTCTCTTTACAGCTCGTTGACAGGTATTGATTTTGTTCTTGCTATGCGTAAGGCACTGTGGGAGAAAGATAAATCCATTACAGTGTCTATCTCCAGGGAATTTAGCCTCTATTTTTGGAGACAGTATATAAACAATAACGCACAAAGTATGACAACTAGTAATAGAACAATATCCCTGGGAATTATTAGGTGACCTGGAGTTTAAGACTCCTACTTATAAGGAATCTTCTTGTCGTTGTGGTTAGGTGCCGTCGAGTCGTAGACGACTTATAGCGACCCTATAAAGGAAAAGCCTGAACACTGTTCATACCGTGCATTTTTGTTGTTGTTGCACTGTAATTTCATATTCTTTTTTAAAAAATTTTTATAAATTTTTTTAATTTTTGAACTTTGGTCCCCCTTCCTCACTAACTCCTTCCTTCCTGATCTTTCTGGCAGAGCCTGCCTCCTCTTCCTCCTCACTGCTCTCGTCCACTCCCTCCTCTGACCCCATCTTTGCAGTCTGGTCCCTCTGCGACGCCTCTTCATCCCTGCTCTTGTTTGTTGATTTCTTTGATGTTTGCTTTGGACCCTTCTTGGCTGGGCTGCTGGAGAGTTGAAGGAGTCTGAGCTGGAGGCTGCAGAGCTGAGTTCTGACTCTGAATTGAAACGGGGCCTTTTTCTCTCTGAATCGCTGGAAGGGGAGGCGGGGGCCCTCTTCACCTTTTTCGAAAGGCCTCGCCCCCTGGCACCCCGGTCATCCCCGCGACCCACATGAGCCAAGAACCGCTGCCGCACGATGGAGTGCGTGAGCGCGCTGAGGTCCGGGCGTCCGCGGAAGAGTCTGCGAGTGAACTCCCGCATCTCGCTATCCCGCGCCGTGTTGCTCCCGCCGTTTTTCTCCCCTGCTTCTGTCAGCGCATTTGACAGCAGGTCGCGCACGCGTGTTGCCGGGGCCCTGGAAGGCGTGGGAGCGTTAGCTGTCGCTCACGGGCGGCTTCGCTGGACAGCTTTACCAAACGACTCTTGCTGCCCGCCCCAGCGGCAGTTGGAGGGCCTCGCGCTTCTCTCTCTTTCTTAGTGTAATTTCATATTCTATAGACCGGCTTGTATTCAGGACAGATTCAGGAGGCAGGGCTTTATGAGGAGGAGTGTGGCATCAAGATTGGAGGAAGGAAGACTTATTAACAAACTACGATACACAGATGACACTACCTTGCTTGCTGAAACTGTAGAAGACCTGAAGCACTTGCTGCAAAAGGACAAGGGCTGTAGTCTTCAATATGGATTGAAACTCAACATCCAGAAGACAAAGATTCTCACCACTGGGCCAATTGGCAGCACCATAATAGATGGAGAAGAGATTGAGGTTGTTAGCAATTACAACTTGCTCAGTTCCATAATCAACACTCTTTAACACCAGCAGTCAGGAAAGCAAAAGAGGAATTGCATTGAGAAAATCTGCTGTCATGGAACTCTCCAGAGTGCTGAAGAACAATAATGTCAGTATAGATACAAAGGTGTGCCTAATCCAGGCCATGGTCTTCTCAATTACTTGTTATGCTTCAGAGAGTTGGACAGTGACTAAGGATGATAGAAGAAGAGTAGATGCCTTGTGGTGCTGGAGATGAGTCTTGAACATGCCATGGACTGCCAAGAAAACAAATAGGTCTGTCTTGGAGAGGGTGAAACCAAGTCTCTCCTTGGAGGCTAGGTTTTTGAAGCTCCTGCCTCACTGACTTTGGGCACGTGGCTAGTAGAGGTCTGTCCTTGGAGAAAGACATGCTCAGAAGGGTGGACGGACAATGCAAAAAAGGAAGATCGCAGAAGAGATGGATTGATACAGTGACTGGGGCAGTGGGGGTTGGTGTGTCAGAACTAGTGAGACTGGCTCAGGACAGGTCAGGGGTCAGAGCTACTGTACATAGGGTCGCTATGCATCGCAGGCAACTCAGCCAGTAACATTCTCTGACCTGTTTGAAAGCAGGAGTGGCCTCCACTTCCTAAAAACATGCCTTCAGAAACTCTGTGAACTTTGATAAATGTTGATAGTTGTAGAGGGTCTTCAGGCCTTTTGTTCATAGGGTTGCTATGAGTTGTGCTCGACTTGAAGGCAGTCAACAACAACAGACCCCCCTCAACTCCTCAACTGTATGAGCCCCTTGTGAATAGAAAATGTATTTTTGTTTTTGTAACTCCAAAATTTGTATCTAAAATTCCCTTTGCAATTCAGAAATATATTGCATATTTTTCTTTTACTGATTTATGTATCAGCTTCACTATTTTGAATGAGAGACCCTGGAACCTCAGAGGTTTGGAAATGCAGCAAAAAATGTGAGACATTTCTGTTTGGTGACAAATTGAACTGAGAGGAAGAGGAGAGGTGGTAGAGTAGGGTGTTGCCCTGGTTTCTGGTCTGCTGGTTCCCAGTAAAGATAATAGGTCACTAAAGCAAATGGAGAAGAAAGAAAATCAGTTTTTTGGTGAGAGGTCAATGGAAGAGTAGAATCAGTTTTACATTAGTTGACCATGTGAAAACTGAATTATGCTTTGGGAGAGGTATTTTGTATTAGTTGTTGTGTACCATAGCGTAGTAACCAACACATAGCTGACCTTCCATCGAGTTTTAAGAGAAACTAATCGCTCAGGAGTGCCTGTTTTCTCCTGCGTAACGGCCCGTACATTCCATCCTTAACTTTTTTTTATTTTATTTTATTAAATTTTATTAGTTTTAATGAACATTTACAGGGATTTGGGGTTTTCATTCCTTCATTGCTGCACCATTCTCTCTACCCTCCTCCCCAGTTTGTTCTTCTTCCCCGCCATCCGAATGTCTGTTTTAATTGTCCAATTGCCACAGTGCTTGTCAAAGTCAGGTCTGATTAATCTCCTTTGTCGGTGTGTCCTTTGCCATTTCCTATCACTCCTCCCTGAGAGAGACTTCACCCTGATTCATAAGGAAAAGGGGATGGCGTATTCTCTTAGCTACTTCCTGCTGAAAAGGGACGCTGTGGGTTTCAGGGTGAAGATCTTCTCTCACTACTCTAAAGGGCCCCTTTGGCAGTAGGAAACACATAGACTATTATGGAGATTGATTTTGGAATTTAGATGCACTCTTATTGATTGTGCTTGGCCGTACATGTTCATATCCTTGAAGATGTATCATGGGGGTGTTGCAACCTAGAACACACAAATTTAACTAACAAGTTATAAGTACATGAGTCAAAAATTATGGAAAAGTAAAAGAAAACATTACTACAAGAAACAAAAAGAGATCTTGAAAAGTGGAAGAATATCCCTTGCTCCATCCTTAACTTTTTATAGCACAACTCCTTACTGCAAAATGGGCTCAGAATTTAATTTAGCAGGACTCTGAACTGGGTAATTCTGGTTGGACTCCCTTCTGAGATTGTCCCTTCTACCCTCAATGTACAGAATGCATTTTAGCAAGGTCCCACCTGTGACTTGAATCAGAAAGAACCTGTTGAAAGTCCTGGAATTCAGAGTTTTTAGTTTTGAATCTGAAGTTTGTAGACGAACTTCAAGGAGTTTTATGTTTTCTCTGTCAGACATCCATCAAAGGAGGGTGAAGATGGTGCAGAACAGGACAAGATTAAGATCTGTTCTTGAAAGGGTCTCTAGGAGTCATAGTTGGCTACATGACACCTGACAGCAACAACACAATAACTATACTTAAATGCAAAATTTATGCATTTGAAGTGGTATGAGTACATGGTTTGTAGCCTTCTTCGTTAGACAGTATTAGAGAATATATGAAACATTGACATATAAGAGCCATGGGATTGGAATGTATGCTCTTGAGATAAAAAGTTTGAAACACTGGTGTTTTCTCCCTTTCTTTTGTATCACATGGTCTGTCAAATTCTGTCCAACTCTGAAATACTTTCCTGGTTTGCACCTTTCCTTTTCCTTTAATAATTTCAAGAAGAATTTATTCTAGTTTTCTATTTTTGAAATAACGAAAATGATTTTTGAATTTTCAAAAAGCAGCCAAGACTTTGGAAATGTTGCTAACTCAGGTATAGTGTGACACCCAAGAGATAATGTTGAAATAAGTGTTATATTTTGGTATGGTATTTGAATTCAAGCTGTACTCATAAAATATCCTTTAGTCTTAGCATAAATTCATAATGTTCTTGTGAGGTTTTGGTTAGTGCCACCTTTGGAAAGTTAAACATACCATCATGGTCTGAGAAAGGATTGTGCAAATGTGTATGCATACTAGCAATGCAAGAGTTTTTATTCACTTTCCAATTTTCCCTTTTTTACACTCTGAGCCCAAGCACTAGAATTTTGTGGTTCATTTCATCTTGCATTGCTTAGGGTGGCTATTTACTTTCAGTCTCTTTTGTTAGAGGCTGATATCATCCTGATGGACATATTCTGATTCATTTCTAGGAATTCATTCTTTTTCTTTCTTTCTTTTTTTTTAAAAGCCTTGCCTATGCAAAGCTTCCCAAAAATTAGTTGTTTTTTGTTTTGTCCAGCTTCAGCACTGGAAAATCCTTGATAAAAAACCAAAGATGGATATGTTTCAGGCTGAAACCTGAGTATGCATAGAAATCTTATCTATATCCTTCCTACATGACAGCAGGCAGTTTGCTATACTAACAACAGCTTTTCATTTGATTATTATTCTAGAGCAAGAGAGTTCTGGGGGTTGGGGAGGGGAAGCCCTGTTCTAGATTCCCTGGAGAGTGTTCAGACTCTGAAACAGATTATTCAGGAAAGCTGTGTAACATTTTACATGGAACACAAGTATCAGACCTGTTACCTCAAATTCCAGTGAACTGAAATGTATTTGTAAGGCTTTTACAGTAAATAAATTACAAGCCTCTGGGGAAAAAAGTATAAAACCTAAGGCATTTTATAATGTAAACTTCCTTATACAATCCAAAAATTGGTTATTTCGGTGGTAAGCTTGGGTTCTTTATTACAACAGGGTAGGCATATCGTTTACATAGTTTTGGCTTTCTCTCAGGTGTGGACACCTCAAGATCGTCAGGGTATCCTGAATACCTTAGCACAGTTACTCCTGGACAAGGACTGTACTGTGCTTATTGGTCGCCAGCTACGCTCTCTCCTTTTGGATTTGCTGGAAAGGAACGCTGAATCCATAAAAGCTGGAGGCCAAGTCAACCACGATCTACACGAACGACTTTGTGTGTCTTTAAGCAAGCTCATTGGTAACCATCCTGATGCTCTCCCGTGAGTAGTAGATTCATTTTTTGTTTTTTTTTTTTCTTGAGGTAATAGAACCTGATCTCTCTTGGGAAGTGAGGAGTCTGAACTATTGAGGATGGGAGATAGAGAAGCAACAAAATGAGAGAAATCAGTAGTACCATTTTATGCAGAGTTCTGGTGTTATAGTCTGCAAAGAGTTGGGCTGCTGACCCAAAGCCTATTCTTCTCTGGAGGTTTGAAAACTCACTTTGCCTCAGTGTTTCTTGTGGAGTTTCCTTCAGTTCTTAAAAGACAAATACATCTGCACATCTGTGTGAGAAAAAGACAGTACAGTGGAGCCCCAGTGTCTTACTGTGACCTGCCAGGCTCCCTTGTCTTCCTCTCCAGCCTCATTTCCTGTGACTTGAAATCTTACTGTTATTAAGACATTATTACACTGTGGTTGCTGTGATATGTCAAGCTATTTCCTTTTATATTCTCATTGAACTTTTTATTTCCACTACCTGGAATGTCATTTTTTCTTCACTCTCTCGTCTTCATTTTTTGAGATATAACCTAAGCATCTCTTTCAAGCTACTCCAGAGTTGGTTGAATATTTTCCATTGTGCCTATAGATGTTTCTGTAAGTGGCTGTCTTCTTACTAGACAGTGAGCTTCATTTCTTTTTTTAATTTTTTTATTCTTAATTTTAATGAACATTTACAGAGATTTTGGATTTCCATTCATTTATTGTTGCACTTTTCTTTCTGCCTCCCC